CAACTCTAAAAGCCTGCCCCATGGCCGCATGAGGCTTTGGGGGGACACACAGACAAACCATAACAGCCACATCCCAGCTGTCCCTGCTCTGTGTGACAAGCAGGAGAAACTTGAGAGGCTGAGATGGTCAGGACAGACTCGCACCTCTTGGGGGGTGTCTTTGCTATCCACAAGAGTCTGGAGGAGCAACTATCTGGGCTGCTTACTTTATAGCTTGGTTTCATTCTGAACATTCTCCATCCTGTGTGGAGCAGAGTCCTGTGCTGTGCAGGAAGTCCTGTCTATGTGGATACCCCGGTTGCTGAGGCATGTACCTGCCCAAGATGTCCCACGGTCACTCTGGCTAATGGTCTTTGGGGAGCAGCTGAGAAAGGGCAGGGGCAATGTTTTGAGATGGGAGTGGAGCAGAGAGTGACAAGCTGGCAAGGAGCCCCTTCTCAGGCTGAGGGTGTAGCTCAGTGGAAGGGCGAATGCTTAGCATTCTGGAGGTCTTAAGTCTGATGCACGCGCATGCGTACCCACACACACACACACACACACACACACACACACACACACACAGAGTTCTAGTGGAGGGAGATGGACAGTGGCCAAACAAGCTTCTGGATCAGATCAGGGCAAATGATGGGGAGAGAAAGGCAGCGAGGGGCGGTGTGACACGATGTGTTGTGGAATTAGACTGAGCAGGAACCCATCTGTCAGCCAGTGGTAGGTCCAGATCCGGAGGGCAGCGATCTCAAAAATCAGATCATCTTCTAGTGAACCAATCGGGCATTGGAAGCCCGCTCAATCACACAGCTCAGTGTGTTGCCTTGGTCAGGTCCCTTCGCATTCCAGCTTCCGCGTGCATCTGTCTAGAATGGATGAGTAATGCTTCCCTGGCGGGACTGTTGAAAGGACTTCGGGTGATATGTGAAAAGCCCCTGACAGTGTCTGGCATGCGTGGTGCCCCATCATAGGAGCTGGTGCCATGCCCCTCTACCCAGGCAGTTCGACTCAGAAGCGGGTGCGGCGGGGGGGTGGGGGGGTGGCGAGGTGGAAGGTCGGGGTGGAAAGTGGTGGTGAAGTGAAGGATTTCTCTGGCCTTTCCCAGTCTCATGGGGCAGGTCCGGGCAGGGCTGGTGGATTGTGCTGGGGTGGGTGTAGAAGAGCCCTGTCTGATCCAGGGGAAGAGCACAGCCAGGCTGGCAGGACCATGGTGGGGTGTGGGGGACCTGGCCTCCACCTGCCAAAGTCCCACCATCTCTCTACAGTGAGGGGGCAGAACTCATGCACCTCGACACTCAGGTCCAGCGCTGTGAGGACATTCTGCAGCAGCTGCGGGCCGTGGTGCCCCAGATCGACATGGAAGGAGATCGCAACATCTGGATTGTGAAGCCAGGAGCCAAGTCCCGTGGACGAGGTGGGGGTCAGGCCCTCTTCCTATACCTGCACCCTATGACCTGTGTCACTCACTAGAGGCCAGGGAGGTTAGTAGTGCAGATGCCCAAACTGCCTGGATTGAAATCCCAGCTCTGTCACAAATATTTTGCAGGAGCTTGAGCATGTCTCCCCCCTGAGCCTCAGTTTCCTTGGTCTGAGAAGCGAGGATGATGACAGTGCCGCCTTTGAGGTGGGGGTTAAGTGCAGCGCAGTGCCCAGCACAGTCCTCACCCTGCAGACGGGCTGCCAGGATGTGATGTCAGCACCGGCTCTGCTGCCCGCGGAGCTCTGGGTTCTGCTGTAGGTGGGTTTGGTGACACAGGGCTCTTAGAAGTCCCCACATGTCCTGTGGGTTTTAGCACAGTGGTTGAGTCCACACTCCTGACTGCCCATCCTCCTCCATGCAGGAAGTGGAGCTACCATGCCCCACAAGGTGCAGTTCCAAGTAATGCACCGAAAGCACCAGGAGCCCAGGCCTAGCATACTATTGTGGTTTTCGTGACTGCTCAGCAAAACCTGGCTGGGATTTGAACAAGGCCAGTGAGCAAGGGTGGCACAGGAGCCTGGACTCTGGTGTGGATGAGGCTCCTAAGCAGCAGGAAAGAGTTTGGCACCAGATCCCTCAAATACTGCCCTGGGTTGTCACATCCAAACCAGAATTAGAGTCAGGTGTCGGTGGTACATACCTGTAACCTCAGCGCTTTAGAGGCAGAGGCAGGGGCATCACAAATTCAAGGCCAGCTAAGCTACATGGCAAGACCCTGTCTCAAGCAACAACAAAAAACCCCAAAAACAAAAACAAATCAAACCAGTATTGGATTTTTTCTACCTTGTATTTTTTCCTAATTATGAAAATATGAGGTTATTGTATTTTAAAAAGACAAATACAGAAGAATAGAAACAAGCGAACAAAAGCCACCTTGATTTCACTGACAGGTAACTGCTGTTAGCCCCCTGCTGTATTCTTTTTTTTGTTTCCTTTTTTGGTGCTTTTCTTTGAGACAATCTCATTTTGTAGTCCAGGGTGGCCTTGAATTTGTGATTCTCCTGCCTCAGCCTCCAGAGTGGTGGGATTATAAGCACATGCTGCCACACCCAACTTGGTGTGTTTCTTTCTACATTTTTTCCTGTGCATTTGGGATATGTGTATGTGGGTTGTGTTTGTGTTTTATTGTAAACACAACACTATTCTGTAGCCTTGTATTTCAGTTATATCTCTATCAATTAATACAAAAACTCGTTTCAGTTTTGCACTTCTTTTCCTGAGCCAGGGTCCCAGCACTTGGGAGGCTGAGGCAGGAGGGTTACCATGAGTTTGAGGCTAGCCTGAACTAAAAAGTGACACCCTGGCTCAAAAAATGAAAAAATAAAATTATGCCTTATAGGTGTAAGATGCTTAACTTCACTCATAGAAAAGATAAAACAATGGAGTATAAAAAAAAAAAAATACAGGGGCTGGAGATTTAGTTCAGTGGCACAGCGCCTGCCTGGCGAGCACGACGTCATGAGTTCAATTCCCGGTACCAGAAAAAAACCAAAAAAAAAAACCAAACATAATGGGCTGAGGGGTATATTTCAGTGGTAGTTAAGTTCAGTGTTTAGCATGTATAAGGCCCTGGATTCTATCCTTGGCCTCAAGAAAGAAAAAGGCCATGGTGGCACACAACTGTAGTTCCAGGCTATGTGGAAGGCTGAGACAGGAGGATAACTTGAGCCTGGAAGTTCAAAACCAACCTGGGCAACATACCAAGACTCTGCCCATTAACAAATAAGATGCCATTTTCCAGGCAAGAGAATGACCTAGATCAAGAGTCAGGTGTTTAGGTGGTCTTGGGGCAGATACACAGTCTCATACATTCTTGCTGGGCCTCGAAGTGGCAGAAAACCTTTGGCAATGTAAAATGGAGAATGCAGATGCCTTTGGCCCTGGCAGACCTGTGGCAGGAAATGTGCTGTGCAGGTGGTTGGTGTGAACGATGTGAGTGAGCGTCACGAGGCCACTGTGTGCCAAGCCCTAGTCCAAGCCCTCGACCTGCTTTCCTTTGTGTAATTCAGAGAAATGGGCACTGTTTGCTCTCACATGCCCTGGAAAGATGCCCAGAAGTGTCCAAAGTAGCAGTACTTGTCCTTTCGAGAGGAAGTGTAGGTGCTTTGTTCTGGGCTTGATTTGGTTTGTTTGTTTTGGTGTGTCCTATGCCCTTTTTTTTTGCTTTATAATTTTTTAATTATTGAGGGAACATAATATCTCCACAAAAAGGCCAGTACTATTTAAATTTTTATGTAAGCATATATTCTTTTTCAAACAGAAATGGTTGAAGCCTGTGGGCAGGAAAAAAAAAAACAAATGGTTAACTAGAAAAATATTAAAAACCAACAACTTCTCAGCTTTTTCAAGAGAATGGGGCTCCTGCCGTGCAGTCCTGGCCCTGCCCCATGCCCAGCCTGACTGCCCTCTCTGCACAGGCATTGTGTGCATGGACCACCTAGAGGAGATGCTGAAGCTGGTGGACTGCAACCCCATGGTGATGAAGGACGGCAAGTGGGTTGTGCAGAAGTACATCGAACGGCCTCTGCTCATCTTTGGCACCAAGTTTGACCTGAGACAGTGGTTCCTGGTAACGGACTGGAACCCACTCACTGTGTGGTTTTATCGAGACAGCTACATCCGCTTTTCCACCCAGCCCTTCTCCCTAAAGAACCTGGACAAGTGAGCCCCACCAAAGGACTCCCCAGAGCCCCGGGTTGGTTAGGAGCTGTGGTCCAATAGCGATGCAGCTCCAGGCAAAGCAGCAGGCAGCCCTCCATCCTCCACGCAGCGGGCACTCATTGAGAGCAGGCCCTGGGCCTCGTGCTGTTCTAGGAGCTTAAGACACATGGCCAACAAGATGGGAGACCAGTGCTTGCAAGCACACACATTCCAGCAGGGAGACACACCCAAGTGAGGAACATGAAAGCACCGTGTAGTAATGGGTAAAGGGTGACATGTGTATAAAAAGAAAAGTAGAGAGCTGGTAAAGGCAGGCCACGGGAGATCTGAGAGAAGAGGAGCAACAGAGGTGTTAACTATGTGGGTGAGAGGAAGCTTCATTATGGCTGGGTTCAGATGCTCTCTGTGCAGCTCCCAGGCTATGTGCCTTTGGTTAAGTGAAAACCTATTTAGGCCTCAGTTTCTGAAGAATGGTGGCAGCAATATGAACTCATAATTGGCCAGTATGGTGGCATGTGCCTGTAATCCCAGCTACCTGGGAGACTGAGATGGGGATGGCAAATTTGAGGCCAGTCTGGGCAATTTAGCAAGGCCCAGTCTCCAAATAAAAGTGGGTAGAGCAGTGCTGGGAATGTGGCACAGTGGTTTATCTAGCATGTGTAAGGCCCTGGGACTGATCCCTAGTACTGCCAAAAAGAAGAAAAAATAAAGTTGTCATTGTAGCCCTGTAGTCAGGTATGATTGTGCACTCCTATAATCACAGCACTCAGGAGGCTGATGCAGGACCACACGTTTCAGCCCAACCTCGGCAATTTAGTGACTCAGCAAGACTCTTTTAAGTATTTAAAAAAAATACGGCTGTGTGTGGTGGCACACACCTGTAATCCCAGCACTCAAGAGACTGAGGCAGGAGGATCACAGAGAGTTTGAGGCCAGCCTGGGCTACACAGTGAGTTTAAGGCCAACCAGAACTGTGCAGTGAGACCCTGTCTCAAAAAACAATAAAAACTTATGAAAGGCCTGGGGATGTAGCTCAGTGGGTTCAATGCACCATACTTACAAAAAATAAAAACTAGCTCTCAGTTATCAAGTGATCATATATGATGGGTGCCAATTACTTTTTGTACATCCCAGTCATTTGTCGTGAAAATCTGATGAGATGGCCCTGTTGTCCCCACTGTAGGATGCCCCTCCTTACCCACAGGCACTGGCCAGTTCCCTGAGCCAGGCCAGAAGCACTCCGCCAGTGCCCTCCCCGTTGGAACCTCAATGTGGGTGTGAGACCAAAGCCTTTCCCCAGCTGGAGAGAAGCTGTGGGGCCAGGGCTCCTTCCTCCTGGCCTCCCCAGCAGGTGCTGACCCCCTTCTCTTCTCTGTCCAGCTCTGTACACCTGTGCAACAACTCCATCCAGAAGCACCTGGAGAACTCATGCCACCGGCACCCCATGCTACCCCCAGATAATATGTGGTCCAGCCAGAAGTTCCAGGCCCACCTTCGGGAGACAGGGGCCCCGAATGCGTGGTCCGCTGTCATTGTGCCAGGCATGAAGGCCGCAGTGATCCATGCACTGCAGAGCTCCCAGGACACCGTGCAGGACCGGAAGGCCAGCTTCGAGCTCTATGGTGCTGACTTTGTATTCGGTGAGGACTTCCAGCCCTGGCTGATCGAGATCAACGCCAGCCCCACCATGGCACCCTCCACACCTGTCACCGCACGGCTCTGTGCTGGGGTACAAGCCGACACCCTGCGTGTGGTCATCGACCGCAGGCTGGATCGCAGCTGTGACACAGGAGCCTTTGAGCTCATCTATAAGCAGGTGAGGTACTGAGCCAGGTACCCCACGGAGTCCAGCCCCTCTCTTAGCAGTGCCCTGGAAGCAGAGGGCTCTATGGGTCCAGACCTGGGCAGAAGGGTCCAAGCATAGCCGTTGCCCTCCTTGAGCTCAGTTTCCTCACCTGGAAGGTGGAGATTCCATCTTTCTCCTACATGCATCATGTAACTAGAGGGGCATAGGTTCAGGGCCTTCTTGGGTTCAAATCCCTGCTTAGTAACTACAAGCTGAATGACTTTAGACGACTTCCCAACCTTGAAGTGGTCTTAGTTTCCTTATGGCTAAAGCAAGAATAAAAATAAAATCTAATTTACAGGATTATGAGAATTAAGGGAGTTGATAGGCGTGGAGTTGATAGACGTTAGCTGGGCGTGGTGGTGTTCATGCCTGTAATCCCAGCACTTGGCAGGCTGAGGCAGGAGGATCTTTTTCAAGATCAGCCTGGGCTACAAATTGAGCTCAAGGCCAACCTAAACTGCATAGTGAGAGCCTGTCTCAGAAAGACAAAAAAAAAAAGAAGTAACAAAATAGAATAGAAAAGCCAGGTGCGGGGGCACACACCTAAAATCCTAGAAATCAGGAGACTAAGGCAGGAGAATCACCACAAGTTCAAGGCCAACCTGAGCTACACAGTGAGCCCCTGTCTCAAAAAAAACAATTGCCTGGGGATGCAGCTCAGAGGTAGATCCTAGCAGGCTTAAAACACTGGGTTCAATCCCTAGTATTGGAGGGAAAAAAAGTCAACGAGGAGTCTGTGATGGCACAGCCACAGGGCCAGGTGCGTTGGGACACGGTAGTTCCTGGACCCCAAGACACTGTCTCAGTGTGTAGGTGTCAGAGCTCTGCCCCAAGTCTGAGCCACATCTATCTTGAAGGCTGTGCCTCTGCACTTTTCAAAAGTCCTGTTGTCCTGCAAATGTCCTTCCCTGCTGAGTTTTAGGCCTGTGTAATCAGGGCTCTGCCCTGCACTGATGGTTTTGTCTCTTTAATCTTTAATCTGGGGTGGCTCCACTGCTTTCCCATCATTTGATCTTGGAAAGGGCCTGGCTGGCTGTTTGGTAGAACTGTCCCACATTCTGGATTTATCTGATTATTTCTTGTGGTGTTATTTAACTTGGTCTTCTGATCTCCTTTTATCAGAATGTCCCATAAACTAGAAGTTAGGTCAGGCTACAAATTGAAGTTCAGGGTAAATGTTTTTGATAAAGCACTAAAAGTGATGCTGGGTGGCTCTTGTGACATTACAAGGCATATAACCACCAGTGTGTCTCACAACCAGTGATGCTGAATCAGTGGGTTAAAACAGCAGCCATCTGCCAAGATTAGTGGCACATTCATATCATCCTAGCACTCAGAGGGCTGAGGCAAGAAGAATCACTGTGAATTCAAGGCCAGCCTGAACTACATAGTGAGAACCTGTGTCAGAACAAACAAAGACAGTGACCACTAGATCTCCAGCAGAACTCCAGCCCTCCCCTTTGCAGTTAAGATCCGTGTAATAGTCTCTTCCCTGTTGCTATAACATGATACTGCACACTGGATAGGTTATGAAGAACTTCATCCTGGCTCAGAGTTCTGGAGGTGCAAGACCAAGGGGCCATGTCTGCTGCTGGCCTTCTTGCCAGCCATGTCCTGAGAGGGCACAAGAATTCACCCGTAGAGTATAGAAGTTGCTGGGATGCAGCTCTATGGTGGAGCCACAGCAGCAGCAGCAGCAACACAGAAAAGGAGGAGCCCAGGGAGCACGGCAGGCCTGTGTCTGATCTCTTCTCATGCAGCCACCCCATTCCCCTGGGGCCCCTCCTGATCTTTATCTAAGCTGAATCCCCTCCCAAGCCCCACCCCAGTGCCCTTCGAGTCTGCATTTCCACTCTGTGGGTTTCCACCCTCCTATACCTGAGTAGAAAGCAAATCATAGCACATGAGGCTTTGGGAGGTGCTAAACCCATGTACTTCATGAGGTGATGGTTTGGCTATGTCCAAATTACACATTTTCTTGTTATGCTTTCCACATAACTGTTTTGAAATCCAGTTATTATTCTTACTTCTTTTTTTGTTTGTTTTGAGAC